TGATAACGATCAACGCCTGTATCAGCAGTGGTAGATAACGATCAACGCCTGTATTAGCAGCAGTGGTAGATAACGATCAACGCCTGTATCAGCAGTGGTGGTAGATGCAGATCAACTTCTACATCAGGTGGAAGACATCCCGGACCTTACTTTACCGTTAGTACGACCCAACATCGCAGTCTAAACTTCACCGGCGTTCGTTTATTGCACATCCTCTGTTTTGAACGTTGTGGGTAGGTTTTACAAACATTCATTCGGCTGCTTTGGCCTTAACTGTTGTGATACCATTAGTGCCAGCTTGTCTGTGTCAGGAAGGAACAAATGGCACAGGTTCCGAATATATCAAACATTCATGAGTGTTGGACAAGTGTCTCTAACCTGATCACCCCTAAACACTATTCAACAAGCAAAACCAAACCATAACACACCTGCACCCTACCCTACTCTACCTCACAAAGTCTTTCCCTACCGCAACGCTACTCATCAACGCCGACCTTTACGCCAGCATCCACAATACTCTACCACCTCCTAACATAACCTACCCAACTATATCATGCCCTGTAAACCCGAACATAGCTGTCATCCTCTTCTCAAACTCAATTGCACCTACTCCATCCTACCTTTCCGTACCAATTATCATACACTGGAAATAGGTAAAAAAGCAAAATTGTACGTCTTTAGTGTAAGGTTACCATTAATAAGAGCTGAGACATGTAATAGAGAATGGTCCAATGTTATTATTTGTTCATCTTTTCAACGTCTCATTGTCCTGTGACAACTGACTCAAGAACTCACCATTAAGCGTATTCAATACGATTGGGGAAGTTCACCTTTAAACATCCATTTGAGATACGACCATGTCCTTCGTGTAGTATTCCTTTCTTTTGTTGCCAAAGAATCAAGGAACCAGAGACAAAAAAATCGAAAATCACTTACCACACAAGAGAGTTAAACAAGCGAACGAAATGAGCAGGATAAAGAATGAGCCCTGGAGAATTCAACTTTGTACTGTGAGGAAAGAAACAAATGACATTCATGGTTGACTGGTAGGATTCAATCACAAAATCAACACATTATCAACACTCAAGCTAATGATTTCAGCAACATTCTTGAAAGCGCTGCCAATTTCGTCAGCGTGTCGATGTGTCGACCAGTGGAAGCTTTTCACATTCTGTCGATAACATTTGGCTGTTAGATCCTGTTCTTACAAGTTATTTTTGTCATACTACCCTTTCTGGCTAGAGTCTCACGATATCGCATGGTGTTCTTCTTAATTTGAAAGATAATGGCAATCTTTATATTTGATACACCCGAAGAGGACTCTGTTTAGAACATTATTCAATTTGAGACAACAAAAACTACCTTGAATATACAATACAAAATGTCAGTTGCTTATTTTGTAGGTTCGTGTTTCAGCCAACACTTTTATTGTAGATATTTCACAATTTTGGTTTAATCACACCAAAAGCAAAACCTTCTCTTCTTCCCAATCACTGAAAACCACTCAAATTAGTATCCGAAATATGTCATTTGTATTTATCTTGCCTCACACATACAGTACAACCAGAAATTATTGAGAATTTAAAGATTGTAATTTTTTATATTTTTTTCACTCATTACTCACGTATTAAATGTCAAAGTCAAAGATCTTATTATGCATGAAGGCCACTGGCCCATATACATATAACATATGTACAATCAAAATATATTGGAAACATGATGCAAAACAATTAAGAGTTTAACAAAGTCTGTCTCTTTTTATAAGCAGTATATATGAATTTGCATAGATTTAATAATGCTTCATTTGAAGGAGAAGTTAGCAGGTTTTTGAATATAAATATATTTGGAATGCGGTTGTAAATATGTGGAAAATAATAGAATCTTTCTTCAGAATAATATTTGCATACTAAAAGAAAATGGAATTCATCCTCTATACCGAGTTTACAGACAGGACATGTGCGTAGAGATACATCAATATTTAACCATCTTCCTTCATTTATTTTTAATCGTAATAGGCCTGCTCGGAATTTTATAAGAATATTACGATATTTGTTTTCATGTATAACACTTAAATATTTTTCCGGTTCTAGTAAACACTTACATTCTCTATACAAATTGTAGCGTGAACTGTTGTCGAGAGTACAATGCCAAGATTGGTAGAACATATTTACACATACATCTTCAACACATCTAAGAAAATCAACCTTATTGCCTACACTTTGTGCTAACCATAAAAAGCCAAATTCATGTGAAAAAAGTATATTACGAATATGAGAAGCATAATTATTTTGCCCAATGTTATCTAAATATACTGACATGTCATATGATTTTTTTGATATTCTACCAGAGTGCATTTCTGTAAGCTTTAGCCAATATTTAATAACTCGACATAAGGCATTTATATACAAAGGATATCGTCCACATTCACCATATATTATAACATTAGGCATTTGTAATCCTACATTTAGAAATCTCTTACATGCAAGCAAATGAACTTTTTTCAATATTCTCATAGCGGCTAATCCCCCATACTTCCGCACCATAAAGTAAAATTGGTTGAATTTGTGAATCAAATATTTTAAAGAATACCCTAGGATCAACCACATCAATCTTTCGTAAGTTATATAGTATTTGTAACAATGCTCTTTTTCCTGTGAATATTAGCAGAACATAACTCCAGATTCAAAGACAGGTGTACAGTTAGTATTTTGTCAAGTCACCATGGGCAGCAATGCAGGCTTCAATGCGGCGGGGCATACTACTGATCAAAGAAGTTAGAAAGTCGTGGTCCATGCTTTCCCAATACCGGACCACCTCTTCTTTCATTTCAGCAATATTTGTCAGATTTTTCTTATTAACACTTTCCTTCATAAGTCCCCAAACATTTTCTGTTGGATTTAGGTCAGGGCTATAGCTTGGCCAATCTAATAATGTCATATTTTGGGTCCGAAACCAGGCCTGTGAATGCTTTGAATAATGTTTTGGGTCGTTGTCCTGCTGGAAAATCCAAAAATGTCCATAGCAGATGGAAGTAAATGTCCCTCGAGAATATCTGTGTACCGCTCACTGTTCATATTCCCTTCAAATACACAGAGGGGCGTTGCCCCTAACACAGATATGCCACCCCACACGTTTAATTTCGGACTGTGCTTTGGGCGCTGATGCAAAGGTTTTTCAGTTTGTTTGGTCCAGAATTTCAGCCACACAGAACTTTCATCTGAGAAAATCACATTGCCCCAGTTAAAATTTCTATGCTGTAAGCCTCAGTTCAACCTTCGCTCCCTCCTCGAATTCCTCGACTTTTCTGCCAACCAATTGCATGCAGCTTAGTTGTAATTGTCTCCTTACAGACACCCACAGTTCCTCTATCAATCATATCCAGCCTTAAGTTTTCTAAACTCCTTCGTTTGTTTTTAGAAACAAGAATACCAAGCCGCCTCCTGTCACCGACAGTCATTTTTTTCAAAACACGATAAACAGTGGACAAAGGGATGCCTGTTTTACTTGAAATCACTTTAGCTGATCTGATGTCCTTGTTATAATACTCTAAAATCAACTTCCTCTTCTCTAAATCATCCATACTGAGGATCACTGAAAATGTCGTCTGCTAGTAAGTAAACAAAGGGGGATAACTCTTACCAAACTAATGAAAAGGATTAACGGAGTTGTCTCTCTTGAATGAAACCAAGCACTTGATAGCTGGTCAAGGTTGTTTATACTAAAAATCCAATTAAACATATTCCTAAAATTCTCAATAATTTCTGGTCATACTATAAATGTCGTTTACTGATTGGCCGAGCGCTCTTCTATTATTTTCAATGTACCCCGCTTACAAGCGAGTAACATTTCTTATGTACCCCGCTGGGAATGCCGAACTCATTTGGTACGTAGTAGTAATTCTTTATCTCGAATAACATTAAATCACGTATGATGTGGGGAAATCACCGATGTTTTGCGAATGCAAATCGATGGAAGGGAGATAACTCTAAATTTGTTTTTCTTGTCGTCTTGTCGTCTGGTATTCCATACTGTGATCCGATACCCGTGCTTCAAACAGTCCAAAATTACCATTGAGGTGTTCGGGCTCAGGGAACATAAACAAACATCGAGGGTACATCAGCCCATGTCCCCGTCGAGACCAGGGAACAATTTATAATGTCCTTAAATTACACAATGCTTATTCTGTAAACATTAATGATCCAATCTTTGATAATATTGGTAATGTATATGTAACTGAGGGCGATGTCATCAATAAAACGGTTCCCCAAAAACGTTATCATCAAGTGTCACACTTTTATACATAAACCAAGTATAACACTGGTTGCAAATACAGTTACTGACTACGACGGTGACGTTGTCCTGCCCACGGGATGCCACGGATGTCGTCTTCAGCGTCCCTCCTTCAAGACAAAAGCCCGTGTTTTTATGAGACTTCATCAAGAAAGCCAGATCTTCGTTTTGGAAACAATTAAGGCACAAAATAGCTCGTTTGAGACTAAATTGTACCCCGCGGCTCGAAGAATATATCAGTGATTAACTGCTCACAAGGCCCCTGTCGGGGGTTGACAAGATTCAGTGTTCTATTTGCCTTGAAAACGGTTGCATGTCCTATTCCCATGAATCATGGAATTCGATTATTAGGTTGAGATCTGTGTAGGGTTGAAAAACGTTGATTGTGTTATCCTCAAGATCACATTATACTTCTTAAATTCATTTGGTCTATGTTCATTGGGAATATATTGAAATTTACAGGAAATATTCTTATAAATCAATTTTGGGGAGAACATGCCCAAAATTCACACTTCCGTACAGAATGTTAATATAATTTCAAAACCATTATTATTGAATTTCTAAACGCCTGACAATATAATTCGCGTATCCAAGAAGCAGATACCATGCGTTACAGTGATACTGCTGTCTGTGATCGTCGAGTTCTGACCTTACATGACGTCGGTAAATGACACCATATATAGGGCCATGTTACGAGGTTTGTATTTGCAATGACAGACATGAAGCGCACGGAGATGATGCAGGATGTGTCAGTATATGTCACTTGATGTGTAGGAATGTTTAATAATCGTACAAAAACATCCCGATTGTCCATTCCAGTTATTCCAGCAGAGTTTCATTATCAAACAAGCACCCCATGCTATAATGGAATCTGGAACGTGTAGAAAGTTTTGCCTTTGGCAGTATGTTTTAGACATAGACACACTCTCGTCAAAGTAAACTGTATTTAGGACATTGTATTATGGACGGAAAACCACCAGGCTGAGCGAAGAATGAACTTCGGAAGCTCATATAGAGCTTGCTTTACTAATATTTAGCAATTTATTAGCAGATTGTGTTTTTTTCCTTTGATATTATTGTAACTCCTAAACAAATGTTTGTAAAGGTCAATTACAATAAGAACGTACGGTATACATTCTCCCTGCGTGCTAGATGTATATATATATAAAATGCAGGCACGTCCAGCAGTAGCTATGTAAATGTCAAACGGACTTTCCCTTCATCGATCTTAACGAAGTAATAAAGATCTTACCATAAATCATCCAGATAATAGTTCACGGAAGAAAATCCATTTGCATTATTTGTTTATAGATCTTATGTTTGTCTCACATTCTGCAGTAATATACGCATAATTATGATGAACCCCCAGCTTCACCTGTCATCAAGTAATAAGAGGATAAACTTCAGCCAATCAAATGTTTGTTATTCGGTTTGGTCTTTGTGTGATGAAATCCCAAACACTTTGATGTCACTTTGAACTTCTGGCGATCAATGTGTTTCACGTGTAACGTTTCTGGTCGATGCAGGGTGTGGTGAGGAAAGGGGAAGAACACAACTCTGAACACAGTCAAAGTGAGTGAGGTGCAAGGCCTCTTTGAACAGGACCATGTGATGCAAAAAATTTTTAAACAAAATACTAAAATCATACATTCGGCTTAAACTCAACAACATTTTCAACAAATTGAACGTTACATAAATATGTCATCAAGATATATGTTAACATCATTTCGTCATCGAGTGTTGGCAAACAGAAGAGAGTGTGTCACTGGCGTTGTGGCGGTGGTAATACTACAACCGTGCTACCACTAAAACAAATCAATTCTATCTAAGCCTTATCATTACGTTCAGGATATAATGAATGCAAACGTGAACTTTCCTCAGAATGACTGAGCATCATCATTTCATCTTATAAACAAAGCCCCAAGGTCGATAACGTGCCCAGCTGTACTTACACCATCAAGTTAGTATGATTGAATACCCGTGAAGGTCCGGGTTAGAATATTGGTATTCAGTAACCCATGCTTGTCGTAAGAGGCGACTAACGGGATCGGGTGGTCAGGCTCGCTGACTTGATTGACACATGTCATCGGTTCCCAATTGCGCAGATCATGCAGTGCTCATGCTGTTGATCACTGGATTGTCTGGTCTAGACTTGATTATTTACATACCGCCGCCATACAGCTGAAATACTGCTGAGTGAGGCGTGAAACTAAATTCACTCACTCACTAGTATGATGGAAACATATTAGTCTTGGATTGGTAAAGTAGGATGTGGTCAATCCAACATTCTTAAGGTGCGAACAAATTTGGATTCACTTTCCATGCAGTATTTGTGTCTTTGAAACCTGTTTCATCGTGAGTGACATGATCAGTGGGAAGTGTCTTTCTCGAGAACGATGGCTTAGGATATCAACTCAGCAACGGAACAAGATATTGATAAATTTATCGAGCTAGATTCTGTCCGGTAATCTGAATTTAGGTAGTCATAAAAGAATAAATTCTTCAATTTGTTGCCAATTCTTTGAAAATTCCAAATAATTAAACCGAGGTTTTACACGAAACGGAAGAATCGTCTTCCATTCAGCACTATTAGTTGTTCATTTCATCGTGAAATAGGTGTTCCGAAATTAGCAACACCATGAATGGAAATTAGCGACACCGCGGATTGAACTTGTCAGCATACTCCTATCTTGATGACGTGACGGAATTGGTATGCGCTAACTATGTTATCATCCTTCATCCAATCAACACGTCCATCATGGCATTTTACTACACTTTCAGTTTCTTCCGTACGGTAGAAACGTTGCCTCGTGAAGGGCATTTGTGTTTTGTTGAAGTGTGAGAATTCATTGTCGAGACAACTTTATTTTAAGATGGTGATATCTTTCCTCTCTCCACAACTACAGTGCCTAAAGTGTATTGAAAATCAACTTTCATCTGAAAGTTGGGTCTGCTGAAATACAAAGGAAGCTCAGAATAAAACATCTATTTACACTGGAACTTTAGTTTCAGTACATGTGATGTATTGTTCTTACTCCAGCTGCTTCATCCAATTAAGTGCCACCTTGCTATCAGTCGCCTGTTATTGTTATTGATGCTTTAATAATCTCACATCAATTGTAGACAACCTCACCGTTCCAACGGTGTTTGTTTGTTTGTTTGTTCAACGCTGCCATATGGTTGTGGTTTGTAAATAATCCAGTGAAAACAGCATGGATAGCATTGTAATACAATGACATGTGTCAATCTGATCTCTTTAGTCACCACAAGTACCACAAGCATGGGTTGCTGAAGACCAATTCTTACATGGGTCTTCACGGGTATCTAACGGTGTAAGTATCAAAAACAAGTCGTTATCCACAAAATTACTCACCAAATTCTCAAATGCCAATCAAGCAATTAAAGAACAGTTTATTTCAAAGTCATTCTGAGTCATTATTCTTTACCTTGTGCAAATAATTCAAATACGTTTGTGGTTTAATGTGCGAGAGGTTTAACATGTCACTAAAACAGAAGTTTCGAAATATAATATGAATTTATTCACTCAATACCTTCATTGAGCATAGACAGGAATGGAAAGCTCGTGTTAACCATTGCGTTAGAGTATCTTCGTGAACCTTTCACACAAAAACTAAGCGTTAGAATGCATCGATAAATTACTTATCGATCCATAACAATGGCTGCATATTGCTCGATATTCGAACGATTTCCGATCATTACAGCGATGATGATTTGACATCCTAGAGCTTAACCCTGACTTGTTTGATGATGCGATTGACATCCTAGAGCTGACTAACCTTGACATCCTAGAGCTTTAACCCTGACCTGACTTGTTTGATGATGATGAGATTGACATCCTATTGACATCCTAGAGCTTTGAACCCTGACTTGTTTGATGATGAGATTGACATCCTAGAGCTTAACCCTGACTTGTTTGATGATGAGATTGACATCCTAGAGCTTAACCCTGACTTGTTTGATGATGAGATTGACATCCTAGAGCTTAACCCTGACTTGTTTGATGATGAGATTGACATCCTAGAGCTTAACCCTGACTTGTTTGATGATGAGATTGACATCCTAGAGCTTAACCCTGACTTGTTTGATGATGAGATTGACATCCTAGAGCTTAACCCTGACTTGTTTGATGATGAGATTGACATCCTAGAGCTTAACCCTGACTTGTTTGATGATGAGATTGACATCCTAGAGCTTAACCCTGACTTGTTTGATGATGAGATTGACATCCTAGAGCTTAACCCTGACTTGTTTGATGATGAGATTGACATCCTAGAGCTTAACCCTGACTTGTTTGATGATGAGATTGACATCCTAGAGCTTAACCCTGACTTGTTTGATGATGAGGAGATTGACATCCTAGAGCTTAACATCCTGACTTGTTTGATGATGAGATTGACATCCTAGAGCTTAACCCTGACTTGTTTGATGATGAGATTGACATCCTAGAGCTTAACCCTGACTTGTTTGATGATGAGATTGACATCCTTAAGAGCTTAACCCATCCTGAGCTTAACCCTGACTTGTTTGATGATGAGATTGACATCCTAGAGCTTAACCCTGACTTGTTTGATGATGAGATTGACATCCTAGAGCTTAACCCTGACTTGTTTGATAGATGAGATTGACATCCTAGAGCTTAACCCTGACTTGTTTGATGATGAGATTGACATCCTAGAGCTTAACCCTGACTTGTTTGATAATGAGATTGACATCCTAGAGCTTCACCCTGACTTGTTTGATGATGAGATTGACATCCTAGAGCTTAACCCTGACTTGTTTGATGAGGAGATTGACATCCTAGAGCTTAACCCTGACTTGTTTGATGATGAGATTGACAGTGAATGAGCTGACAACCTGTAACACGTGTTCCCAAATAGAAATAAGCCGTACCTACTTCATACTGAGACAACATCTCTCACTTGTATTTCGAACCAAACATATCTATTGAACAACGTTTAACGTAATGTGGTTGGGTAAAATTCTGTTTCAGTTCTATAAAAATAATTATCTCATGTATCTCAAACCCATCACGTATACATAATAAGAAGAGAAACAATAACTAGGTTGTGTGCATGTAATGGAAATTAAATCACAAACTATTATCCAAAGATTTCTTCCATAGATTGTAATTGACAAATATATTTTGACATCATCCAAAACATATATTACAAACTGAAAAAGAAAATGTCACAGTTTTTGTAGTTTTAATTCTCTGAAAAGAGACATTTGGAGATTTAAGTCTGTTTGGCTCAGACATAATCTGCAGTTTCAAAGGACTGAACATGGTCTGGCAGTAAATCCTTCTAAAATGTTTTCCAACTTTAAAAGATGGATTGTGTATGGCCGATTGAGGTGTATTGGAAACATCGTTTCTCAAACCGATTAGAAAGATACCCTGAAAATTAATTTGAAAATTGTTGTATGACTAAGACGTGCTCAAACTCTAAAATTAGCGTCGCCATAGTAACGCGTTTAGAAAGTGATTTAAGAAGACATTCTATTTAACTTCTGACACATTTTTATTTTCTGTTTAAATGATTACTAGTGGCAACTCATTAATCTGATTTCTTGTCAGATAAGGTAGACGGGAGAATTATCTTTTCCCGCACAACCAAACACATCATCCTTTTTCGTCGTATGCTTGTCTTTGGCCATTTGCAAACGATCTGTGTTAGTGCGAGTTAAGTGCATGTTTTGGGATCAGAACTTTGTCTTCATATATAAGGAAGAGAAGCGCATTAGTGGAATGTGGTAGATGGGACATATTCTCTGTCAAATATGTTAAACTTGCCTGAAATTGTGCGTTGGATATTTTATTGTTTAGATTTGGTATATCGAACATATATCGAAAGTGGTTCCTTATTTATAACACATGTAGATTCTACAAATAATGTATTTGCAAGTAAATTAAATACATCGAAATACCAAGATTCCATCATCTTGTAAACAAACCCTATTTGTGATGAATTACAAGCTACAAGAACTCCCCATAGCACAATTCCGACGTTGACAAAATGGCACCACAAGGCATCGTCCAATCCTACAGAAATTCTACCGTAGGTCGCTACTTCCGGCTTCATTCACCTTCGAAAAGGGATACTCCAGTGTATGAAATAAGGCCCGTCCGATTTCTGAAGGACGGTCTAAATTTACAGCTAGCCAGCCCGATGGTCTGGTAAATAAGTTTCGTAAATTTTCGTAAATTCACCATATCTTGGTGTTTGGTCTGGTTAAATCCAATTTGGGCTGGTAACAATTTGGTGTTACCAGCCCTGATGTCTGGCTGGGTTTTTGGCTTATTGCATACACTGAATACTCGCTAGAACGTATACTGCAACAAATGTACGCTTCATACTTGGGGCCTGTACTTAAACTGAGCAAGAAGTCTCTTCGTTGGCATTCTTTCACCAACGGCAGAACGGATGATTGGATGAGCACATTCATGTATAATTATCGTTTCTAGCGGAGTGGTTTATGGTAAAACGTTTAATATTAACGTAATTTCTCTATCTTATGTATATTTGTAGATTAGCTTAACTGATTCTTGAGAGATGCTTTAAAAGGGAAAAACGTATTATATGGTGCAACACCTTCAAAAGACAAAAAGAACTTCATTCGACATTCCAATAGTATAAACCTATTACCATCAGTAGGTAAATGCGTTTGTGACTGTGACAGGTTTCCATACAAAACGTCGAGTCTGTGACACCGGAATAATCAGACTGCCTCGCTGTAAATGGCATTAGTCAAACCGAAATTGATACCAGTATAATGGCTGTGGGATTGACAGCCTTGTGAAACACTGACGCTGCTGGTGTCGCCCCATTTCATACGTCATTACGACGTTGTCGACTACTAATATCAATTATGTCAACCGGTGGAGTGAAAGTGAAGGGTGTTCGGTACAACAGCACGCTTGTTGCGTGGCATTGGTACAATGTAGCACAACCATTTGATTTATGTTCTGATGCCCGAGAGGAAGCACTTGTGTAGACGGATGGCGTGGTCTAGATAGTATACGTTACAAATTTATTAATTACCACTAAAAAAATCCCAACATTATATGAGTTAAATCCCTTGGAAAGTAGACATGATAGAAGAACCGTATTTAATTACTTGGCTCAGATAACGGAAATGATGTTCATAACCTTTGAGATAGAAAGACTTGATGTGATTCGGTACGGCGGCAGAAAATGACAATTATGGTCAATGGATATTTGTAATGGGTTATTGCCTATCTGCCCAAACGTTAACATGTGTGGGAGTATACAACTTACATATCTGAGTTGCCGGAAGGTTAACAGTCACATTGCCACCCTACCTGGCACCCGTTTTCACTGCTGGCGTAATTTAAGATATGCCACTCGTGTAAGAAGACATAACATAAACAGCTTGTGCCTCAGAGTTGGAAGCATTAGGAATCAAGCTGCCCGACACTGCCACTCGTGTGATTTGAAACCTGCGCGCAGTGCACAGATCCACATTCCACAGACCGTGTCAGTAATGGACACATCTTGACATTCTACCTAAACTAAATTGGAATAACATGCTTTCTGCTTTTTCAGTTATCCATGGAGTTGTGGATTGAATGAAACACGATACCGACACAAGCCAACGTTTAGTGTACCGTTTACCGCATTCTCAAACCGGTTTTGAACAAGCGATGAAATGTCCCACACCTTAACACGCTGTTGTGTCGGACATTCTTAATCGTTCAGTGCGACGGGCCTTTTTGTAACTGCATAAGAGTTAATTATCATATGTGTTGAGCGTCATTCCTCTTGATGATGCACTGAGCGTTCTTCGTTTCTTAATGTCTTCTTCATCTAATAACCCTAATAGTATAGGGTTTCTTCGTCTGCATGTGGGTGGTGGGGTAGCATAGTGGTTAAAGCGGTTGCTCGTCACGCCGAAGATCCGGGTTCGATTTCCCACATGGGCGCAATGTGTGAAGCCCATTTCTGGTGCCCCTGCTGTGATATTGCTGGAATATTGCTAAAAGCGGCGTAAAACCAAATTCACTCACTGACTCATATTTTTGTATACGTCGGGCCTCCTTCGTGTCCTAATTGTCTTTACGTACAGATAATAACTTGAATCTGGTGATATGCCGGACACCAACATCTGAATATTAGTCGTGCGTTTTTATACCGAGTTGGTACAATGAATGTACTTCATCTGTTAATACGTGGATGCCGTTCATTTGTTAAATGTTTGGGCTGTATTATTGATCACGTATTTTTCATAAATCAGGACACTGCAGCCTGGAGCAATCAATAGCATGAGTGTACTGGAATTGTATTCTAAAATAATATTTCTGTAATGAGAAATAATACGGAATGTTCATTGCTGGTGTATTTCCGGAATCTGTTCTACGATCTCAATAATCTGATGTTGGATTCTGAGGTGATATGCAATCTCCACCAAATCTGTCCTTGACCATGCAACGCAGGAGGCGCTAACGAACTCAAATACTGTTTTAAGGCATTTTTCATGTAAATCCGCTTCAATTTCCATTAATAATCCATTTGGTGTCCAATGGGTATGAAATAGGAGCCAAACAGGGTGCATATTTCATAAATTCTGTCACCTGGTCAGCCACTTGTCATACTAGGTTTTATTAAACAGTCTGGCGTCTACACAATCAACATCTCCTCTTGTCGTCCTGTCGGTAGACCTTCATTTCACAGTCATGCTAATGTGGTACCTTAACTACTTAAGATCTCGTCCATCTTAACTTGTGTTTATGTGTTTTACAAACACCCGTCCACGTGATATGTTAGACGTGAGAATCTAATATAGCAGGAGTTATTACCAGAGATAGGCCATTCCGGTCGCCAGTGGATGAGATCACTTTTCACTTTTGTTGTACAATGGTGACGACAAGCAAATGAAAAGTCATCGCCTTCATAGCCCAACCGATGTCCCACGTTCATTTTATGTTGGTGTGTTTGGCTGACACGTCCCCTCGCGACTACGCTTTTGCGTCTCCTCCACCCGTACCTTTTCGGTATTTGTGACCGTACTTTATTGTACCTGCACATTTTACTTCCGATGAAGTTAACATTAGCAGGAATTCTCTGTCAGATATTTCCAATTTCTGCTTTTGAGTTTCTTCTTTTGCAGTGTATATTTCATTTTAAAAGAATAATTTACTATCATAAGAAGACACAAGGCATATTTTATAAATTCGTATAATATAACAACCCAGCAAAATAGAGAACAATACACAATACCTTTTTTCGAGGTGTGTGTGTGTGTGTGTGTGTGTGTCTTTTCTGTCGTAAGTAAATCGTCATAAACACTGTCAGAATTCGTTAGAAACACGACCTTTTCAAACCATGGAATCGACTACATAAAAGTACAATTAAAGAATGTATATGACTCAAAGTGGCGTAAAAGCATACTCACTCCTTCATCTCTCATCATAGTTTTCTTCGCGACTGATTGAATTACTCCACTCCGACAGACCAATCAGGAGTGTGAAAGTAAGCTGACCACGAAGTTTCTGATGTGAGAGACAAGTGCCCTGAAGAAACAGGTCATGGTCACTGATGTTTTTGTTTAAACCAGGCGGTGTGAAACTAAAACCCCTGGTGAAGCTTACAATCTAGAAACACAATCAGGTTGAGCTGGAAAACACGATCATAGGTTTCTTCCACGCCCGATGAGAACAACCAGGTACAGCACAGAGTCAGACAACTACCAGCGTTGACATCTGTTGAAACCAGGCTTAACTTTGATTTAGTGTTCATCAGCATAAACAAATTACGAGCCACTAGGTCTCCCTTCCTGGAGCTATCTGATCCGCAGCCTTTGATCTTCCCAGGCAGAAGATGGACATT